TTGATACAGTGGCAGCAAGTATGTGTGTGTGTGTGGGGGGGGGAGAAGCCAGGCATGGCTGGTTAACTCAGACTAGTGAGGTGGGGGTGGGCTTGGGTTTGCAGCTGGCCAGGCATGTAGTGGGGAGGCTGCAAACCCCACTACTCCTGGCTGGCTACAAACATCCAACCTGCTCCTGTGAGATGCTCCACTGCCCCACCAGACTGAGCAGCAGAGATGGTAAAGAGTGTGGGGCCTGGGCCAGTGGGGGCCTGCACCCAGGGTAGGGCAGCAGGAGTGTGGGGCCTGGGGCCAGGGCCAGTAGGGGCCCGGAGTGGTGTGCAGGCAGGCAGATGGGTGGGGAGAGGCGGTGGCGGTGAGAAGTGGGGAGGGGATGGGCATCAGTACAAGGTCTGCGTTGGTGCCTGAGGCCAGGGCCAGCAGGGGCCCAGGAGTGCAGGCCTGGGCTGGCACATGGGAGTGGAGCAGCCAGTGGGCTAGTGGGGAGAGGCGGCAGCAGCGAGAAGCAGTGGTAACCAATTACTTATATTTACATCCGTTCCCACAGGCAAATGGATTTTGCTTAGTGTGATTCTGCTAAACTTGTTTTTTCTGGAACCAATTAAGAGTGCTAAGCGGGGTTTGTCTGTAGTCTACAGATGCTGCAACTCAGCTGGATGCATGTTTTGGCCTGAGGAGGAAGATGCCCATTTCCTTCCTGAGGCCACAAAGTGTAAAAGGGCACATGTTCATGCCAACAGGAAGCTTTAGGTGTATGGAACTTCTTTGTCAACATAAAAGCTGCTTCTTTGTTCCATTAACATAACAAAAAAATCATAGAAAACTAGGATTGGATGGGATCTCAGGAGATCATTTAGTCCAACTCCCTGCACAAAGCAGGACCATCCCCAACTAGGTCATCCCAGCCAAAGCTTTGTCTAGCTGGGTCTTAAACCTTCAAGGATGAAGACTCCACAAGCTCTATAGTTAACCTGTTCCAGTGCTTTACTACCTTCCTAGTGAGAAAATTCTTCCTAATAGCTAACCTAGACTTCCCTTGCTGCAACTTGAGACCATTGCTCTTTGTTCTGTTGTCTGCCACCACTGAGAACAGTCCAGCTCCATCCTCTTTTGAACCCCCTTTCAGTAGTTGAAGGCTGCTATTAAATCCTCTGTCTTCTCTTCTCTAGACTAAATAAGCCCAGTTCCCTCAGCTTCTCTTTAGAAGTTATGTGCCCCAGCCCCTAACCATTTTCGCTGCCCTATGCTGGACTCTCTCCAATTGTCCACACTAGGGCTGTGCAAAGCTTTGGTCACTGATTCAATTCGGAGGAGATTCGACCCAATTCGGTGGCTGAATCCCCAAATCCGAATCCAATCAGGAGACCCTTTAATCTCTTCAAATAGAATTGGAAGCCTCTGAATCTATTCAGAGAGATTCAACAATTCGGCCATAGACCCAGTTTGGTTTGTGTGTTTGTGTGTGTGTTTTTCCTACGTACCTCAAGGCACCAGGCATGGCTCATGCGCACTGAGATGGTGGGGCAGATGGAGCGTCCAGTCCACTACTTCCAGTCCGCTTCCAGGTTTGCCGCCGAGCACGCGGGGCACATCCCCACACTCCCATGGAACACTCCATCCACCCCACCTTCTCAGTGCTCATGAGCTGTGCCTGGTACCTCTAGATATGTGGGGAAAAAAAATATCAAGCTGTGTCTATGGCCAAATTGCTGATTCTCCAAGTCAGAATCGAATCTTCAGATTTGGCTGAACTGAATCAGGACAGTGATCCAAATCAGCGAATTGAATCGCTGTCCCCCAAATCGGACTGAATCCAAATCGAATACAGCCTGTTTCACATAACCCTAGTCCACATCCTTTCTTTAGTAGGGGGCCCAAAACTGGACACAGTACTCCAGATGTGGCCTCAGTGCTGAATAGAGGGGAATAATCACTAGCCCTAGAAGAAGCCACAGGGGCTGGGGGAAATGTTTGGGGAGCTGGGGGAGTAAACAGGGGCTCCCCCCCCCCCAGCTCCCATGGCTTCTCTTGGGGCTGCCAGCACTGTCTGCCTTACCATGGTGAGGGGGCAGCCAGATGAGCCATGGCTTCTCCTGGGGCTGCTGGCTCAAGCCAGGGCTCGTCCGGCTGCTCCCTCAGCTGCTCCCACCAGCTCTGCCTAGTGCCTGCCTGTGCATCCTATGGTCAAATCTCTTTGAACCGATTCAGAGGCCTCCAATTTGATTTGGAGAGAGTAATGGGTCTCCCAATTCAATTCAGATGCTGAATTGGGCCAAATCAGCTACTGAAGCTTCGCACAGCCCTAATAATCACTTCCCTTGACCTGCTGGCAACACTCCTACCAGTGCAGCCCAGTATGTCATTAGCCGCCTTTGTAACAAGGGTGGTACACTGCTGGCTCATATTTAGCTTTATTGTTCACTTTACCTGCCCCCCATGTCCTTTTCTGCAGAGCTGCTCCCCAGCCAGTCAGCCGTTAGCCTGTACCACTGCATGGAGCTGTTCCATCTTAAGTGCAGGACTTTGCACTTGTACTTTTTGAGCCACATGAGATTTCTTTTGGCCCAATCCACCAATGACTGACAATTACGGGACTGCTCAAGCCTTCCACTGAAACACCAGGTTCTGACCACTGTCACTGATGTGATATTGGACTTGGAGAGTCCATTTCAGTCTGACAGCTCTTAAACATGTGTAATTTGCCTTGATGGCTGTACCTTCTGCAACCCTCACTATGACATGGCACACCCCTTTCCACAGACAGAAGAATGTGCAGGCAGCTTACCTGGAGCTGTAATCCCCCCTGTGGAAACTCAAATACACAGTACTGCATCTGTTCATGTTCCCAACTCGGCTATTACAACCAGTTTCACTTCAAGTGAAAACTTACATTCTGAAAAACCAAAGGCCATTGTAATGTGGTGGGACCAACTCAGACCAGTAGCAGCTGCCTTCCCTGCTCTCACCGGCTTTTCCCTCTTTCAGGTTCTGGGAGATGCTGGAGACGTATGGTCATGAAAGGCAACTTTTCCTCACCTATGAGACATTGGCAGGCCGGGGCTCACGCCTGTGTCAGGAAGCAAAGATGCTGGAAGTGCAGCTGGCAGTGCCGCCATCCCAGCTACCCACACTAGAATATGAGAACACAGTGCTGTATGGGATGCTGTACAGTGATTCCAACCAACTACAGCTTAATTCCCAGGTGAGGAGGGACCTCGACTCTTCCCATGTCTCTCTCTCTCTCCTGCAGGTAGGTCTATGGTCTTGCCAGGAAATCAAATGTGAAGAATCTTTCTACTGATGCTGTTTTACTTTGCTTGTAGAATTCTTATTGGGCACTAGAGGTTCCCAATAGGATGGTAATAGAATGATAGAAAGTTAGGGTTGGAAGGGAGGTCATGTAGTCCAACCTCCTGCTCAAAGCAGGACCATCTCCAACTAGATCATCCCAGCCAAAGCTTTGTCTAACTGGGTTTTGAAAACCTCCAAGGACAGTGTTTCCACCACCCCTCTGGGTAACCGGTTCCAGTGTTTTACTACCCTTCTAATGAAGGAACTCTTCCTGTTATCTAATCTAAACTTCCCTTGCTGTAACTTGAGACTGTTGCTCCTTGTTGTCATCTGCCACCGCTGAGAACAGCCTAGCTCCATCCTCCTTTGAACCCCCCTTCGGGTAGTTAAAGGCAGCTATTAATTCCCCTCTTGGTCTTCTCTTCTCTAGACTAAATAAGCCCAGTTCCCTCTGTCTTTCTTCATAAGTCATGTCCCCCAGCCCCCTCACCATTTATGTTGCCCTCTGCCAGACTCCCTCCACTTTTTTCACATTCTTTCTGTAGTGGGGTGCCCAAAACTGAACACTGTACTCCAGATGTGATGGATTATCACATCTGGATTCTAATTCTCCACCTGATGGATTATCTCAGGCAGCACAGATTTGGGTGGGGGGCATTCTTTTCCCTTCTCTTACTACAGTTTTGCAGCATGTTTCCCATCTTCCTGCAGGAGCTATCTGAACTTAAGGAGCAGCTCAGTACCTCAGAGGCCAAACTCTATCAAATGTTGATGGACCTCCTGAGTGACCTGAAGGCCAAGCGCAAGTCCCTGAGGAGCCATTTCCAACAGACAGAGCGTGACCTCTATGTGCACTTCTTCAGCAATGTTAACCACCTGCAGGAAGTGGTGCAAGAGCTAGAGGAGCAAGCTTTGTCCTTCTCCTAAGGATATGTAATGGGGCAGGTCAAGGTGGCTTTCACTGTTTGCCTGTCATGTGGCCTTTCCTTTCCAAGGGAAGGAAATGCTAGCAATTCCAGGTGCCATGGTGGGCTATAGTGGTGTTTTGTTTTGATCCTGTAATTGAGAGGCCTTGCAGAGAAATGCCACATCCCTCATTACAGGGTGAAGGGAGTGCACTCTGTGGTAGAAGGAAAGGGAC